GGTGGGGAGCTGGCCCCGAGCCGCATTCCAGCAGCCCCAGTGCTGATCCGGCGGGACACATGGGCTGCAGCCGAAGGTTGCTATTTTATTTTTTACTGGGGGTGGGCAAGGTTTGTCCTTGGTGGATCAGGGTGGGTTTTTGTTCTTTGTGAGGACCTCTAGGCCATGTGCTGCGCTTTGGCAGCACATCAATAGAAACCTCTGCAGCCAGCTGAAAGCAGATTTCTAACAGATGGGTTTGGAAGCTCCACAAGGAAGGGAAATCTTTATTAAAGGTATCGTAGCCGTCTCACCAGTATCATCTGTCCCATCTGCAACGCATGAAGTTGGCACAAGCCTTTCTGACCTTCTGAGGTGTGTTTCCACCCTGCTGCAGCCCTTGTAGCTGGCAGAGGGCAAGCACTGGCGTGCTCGAGCCGCTAGCGATGGGCGTCTCGGCACCGCGTACGGCTGACCGGCGCGAGGCTCGGATCCAGTCTGGCGGTGTTGCTGGAGTCTGGTATGCTAAGGAAAGGCAACGGTTTGGTGATTTTCTTTCTCTCTTTCTCTCTTTCTCTCTTTCTCTCTTTCTCCTTTTTTCTTTTCTCTTTTTTCTTTTCTCTTTTTTCTTTTCTCTTTTTTCTTTTCTCTTTTCTCTTTTTTCTTTTCTCTTTTCTCTTTTTTCTTTTCTCTTTTCTCTTTTTTCTTTTCTCTTTTCTCTTTTTTCTTTTCTCTTTTCTCTTTTTTCTTTTCTCTTTTCTCTTTTTTCTTTTTTCTTTTCTCTTTTTTCTTTTCTCTTTTCTCTTTTTTCTTTTCTCTTTTCTCTTTTTTCCCCAGAGAGAAAACTTTTTGCCTTCGCTGACTTTCCAGCCAAATCTCAAAAACCCAGAGTTTAGGTTCCTGCACTCCGCGGACTGGCACTGCAGCCTTGTCTCAGCACACGTGAAACAGGCTTTGCCCGTCGACGACGGCCGTGCGGGCCGGGCTGTGAGGTTGGGTGGCTTGTTCTTCCCCCGCACGCCTTGGCTGTCGGCGCTTGCTTTTTCTCCTGACGGGGATTCAAGCAGTCTGTTTGTTTCCTCCTGTTTTGCTTTGCGCCAAGTGACCATATGAAAAATCCTGCTTAATCTGAGCGCGCTGTCCCCCACCTCCTCCCCTGGGTTAGGGGATGAGCTTGGAGAACAGCGACTTGGGACAGTTTCTCTTCAATTCTGCTCTCCCCTGGTCCGGCAGAGTCGCCTTTTCCTGTTGCAGAACGCAGGCAGGGGGAAAAAGGATGGGAAGAGCTTACGTGAAAACCCTTTTGAAAACCATCTTCCAGTTTTTCAAGGAAAAGCGATTAAATACGCTCAGCTACTGGCAAACCCAGCGTGCGTCTCGGGGACAACAGTCAGCGGCAAGTCCCCAGTAGCTGAGAGTTGTCCCGAGAATCCTCGGCAGTGTGCGTGCTGTTAGGCGACTGCGTGCTTCGGAGTCCTCCGAGCAGTGGGCAGAGAAGAACCCCCAGGGACCTGACTTTGGGGATGCTGGAGGAGCGCCCGGCGCGGCTCTCCCCTGCGTGCTGCGGAAAGCAGCGCGGCTCCTGTGCCTTCCTGGCCCTGGGATGATGCCCAACAGCTGCGAGCGTTCGCATGTGAGTCGGCGCTGGCAGGAGTTGTAATAACTGGAGTTTCTTGTGCCGAATAGCTCCTAGGTGGCCTCCACAGAAACATTTGCCTAACAAATGGGCTTTCGATCACGCGATAACATGCAGCAGGCCCGCAGGCGCATCTAGATAACGGCTGCCCCTCCTTGAAAAGTACCGTACGAGGCTCCTTCAGCCGCAGCTTGATCCTGAGCGACCTTTACTTGGGCTGCTCCAGCGCTGAGAGTGGAAGCAGCTACAAATCTCTTACAAAATGACCCTGACGTCCTGTCTTTGCCTTCCAGATGGACAAAACCACAGCGCAGTTACTGCTGGGCAGCCTCTACGGGCTCAGGGACCCGTCTGTAATTCTCCCCCGCTCCCGCTTTTCTTCCTTGCTCTTTCTTCCCCTGTCCTGCTTCCCCATAAAAGGGAACCAACTGACCCAAAGCCTAAGGCAGCACCTAACGATGGTGTAGCCCCCCCCCGACTTGCTGGGGTACGGAGGGAAGGGCTGGCTTTCTGGGGGACGCAGGGAGCCGAATGGCCGTGGCGTAAATCTGTTTGCGGCGCTCCCTGCACGCAGCTTGGCTCTGCTGGGCCGTGCCGGGAGCTGGACGCGGGGCCTCGGGAGCATCTCCTGTTCCTCCTGCTCTCCTCGTGAGCCCAAGCGCGTTCCCAGGTGAACAAGAAAGCGTTCAGTTCCTCGCTGCTGCGGAGTCTCTGCTGGGCTCTGGAAAGCTTCCAGGGCTTAATGCGCTGCTTCCCTTCCTCTGGAGCAGGAGATAGTGTTACCAACAGGGCTGTGTGTTCCCTCGGCAGACACGGAGCCCTCGCTGCGGTGCTGCTGCTCACTGTCTCTGTCAGGCTCCGTTTCTGTTTTTCCCTTGCTGCGTACCTCAGCCATGTGCTCTGCTGCTGGGAAGAGCAGCGGAGCAGTCTCTGGAGCAGCGCTCTAGCAAGATGGATGTGTTATGCGGGGCAAAGGGGGCACGCTTGAAGTCTTTCTAATTTTGGGTTATTGCAGTGTGTTGGTTTTTTTTTTTTTTCCTGGAAGTGCTTTGCACTCCCTGCAGCGTTAAGGTCTGGCTCTTCTGGAGTCAGAGCGGAGCGCAGATTTGGGGCAGCTTGGGGTAAGCTAGCACACAGTCAGACAGCGAGCTGGCTGCGATACCGAATAGCCCGTCTCGGAGAGACGCGGGCAGATGCCATACACCTTTGCCTTTGTCCTGCGTGCCGGCGGGATGAGGAGAAGGGATGAGAAGGGATGCCCAAGCACCCTTTGCCTGACAGAGCTGCCTGCGGGCTGAGTTAGTCTGGCTCGATGGCTTCCAGCTGGCCTCGCGCGGCCAGGTCCCTTCCAAGAGCTGTAACCGAAGTGAATAATGCTTTCATAAAGAAGGCAAAGTAAATCTTGCTAAATGACAAAGACAACATAACATTCCTGGTTGAAATCTAGCAATAAATCTCCTGTGCGCTGATGAGTCTGTAGCTGGAGCCTTGACTGCCAGAGGATCTTGTTTAAATTGGAGGAGGCTGACTCTTTGTTAGTCGTAATTAAAATCAGCAAGCAGGAAACAACAGATGCTAATCAGAGTTTAAAGTTTTCTTGGACTCCCTGAGAGCCGATTCTCAGGGGTAACTATTCAGGTGCAGAGCACTTCTGGAGCTACCATGCTGAGCACGGGCTCAGGGGGTTCTGTTGCGGCTTTTTGTTGTTTTTCTTTGTCTTGTTTGTTTTTAAATCGGCTATCACAGTGCACTAACTAAAAATGGCTTACCCTGGGATTTGTTGGCTGTACTCACTGTCTTTAAACGAAACTGCGTAAAGTGACATTAAAATAGAAGGTGCGCTTCGATCAGCGGTGCCAGTGAGCTGGCGGGGTGCTACGCGTGCGTCGCCTTTCCGGGCCGCGCTGGCTCTGTCGGGCTGCGCTGGGAGACCCCATCTGCCCAGGGATTTCACGTGTCTGTCCTGGGCACAGCGCCTTTGCGATAGCACGTCGGGATAAAAAGAGCGGGCACCAGTCTGCCGCAGAAGCAACCTGCAGACAGCTTTGGTCGTGTAGCTTTATTTTTTGTTATTTTGGGGTTTTTCGGATTCATTGGGGGGGGGGGGGTGGT